CTGACTCAGTTTACAGAGCGAGAACCATAAACAATCACAATGCAGTGTGGTGTAGGTGCCATGGGGACACGTGGGATAAGGAGACAGGGAGGGCTTCCTGAGGAGGCATTTGGGCCTGATCGAAGGCTACGTGTTAAACAGTGAAGGGAGGAGCAGTTGGGTGTAGAAGGGCAACAAGTGGAAAGAAGAATGGTCCAGGCAGAGAGAACAGGATTCACAAAGGTCCAAAGCTCAGAGAGCATGGTGAGGTTAGGGAACAGAAAATAACAACGTCATAGATTGAACATGTACTTTGAGGCAACCTGTGTCCCACATGCTTCACGTAGATTAATGCACTTAATCCACATAGGACCTGCATGAGGTAAGTGCTGTTATCCTGCTCATATTACAGATGAGGAAACTGAGGCAGAGAGCCTATGCAAAGTACACAAGGCCTCTAGTACGCCGTGGGGCTGGGATTGGGATGCGGGTGCCTGACTCCACAGCTAATCAGTACTCAGCCCCTGTATCCTCCTGCCCCATAGCTGAACCATTCAGGATGGCTGGGCTGAGTAGGTCAGAGTGGGTGCTGTAGAGGTGGCGAGGGCCCAGATCCTGAATGGCCTTGAATGCCACACCAAGAGTGCTGATGAGGGAGAGTCACTGGGGGCTCAGAGCAGGGCTGATGACAGACTTGCTGTTGTGGCTGTATTTATCTTCAACGGAGCAGTTCCCAGGCCATTAGATTTATTGCATCCATTTAACAGCATAACCTTGAAGGCAGAGGCTGCCTGATGCATTTCAGCCTTGATGCTCTGCTCGCGGCAGGTGCTGCATAAATGTTTGTAAAGCAAATGGAATAGGGAACACAAAGGAGGAAGGAGGGCTCTGGAGTGAGGTACTTAGGTTCAGTTCTTGGCTTGGGACTCACTACTGGGGTGACTGTGTACCTCCATGTCCTTATTTATAAAATTGGATAACAGACCCAAGAAGGTGGCCATTGGGATTAAGAGAATCCAGGTACAGTGGTTAGCTCAGTGCCAGAATTCAGCGCGAACAGTGCCTTTCTTTGCTTGCCTGCAGTGTATTTCAGGGGGCTTTGTCCCCAGAGCCCCTTCTTCAACAGCCACCCCAAATCCATAGAGGTAACTAGACAGAAGTCAGGTGGTCCCACCTCCATCACTGATCTCTGGCCCTGAGAAGGAAGGGCAGCACTCCGCTTCAGGGATGGCAGGTGCAAGAGGCTCTGCCCTGTGCTCAGGTGTGCGGATGTGAGTGCAGGTGCCTTGGCCTGGCCCTCATAGATGAGGCAGGGGAGGTTGGCTCTGCTGGAGTCCCAGGCATGGGTGCGGTGGCAGGGGAGGCCCACGTCCCCTGCAGAGAGCATTGGCCTCACTCCTTGTCCCACCAGCTGGAGGAAGGGACGTGCTCAGGCCCTCCACCTGGCTCAGCCTGGCTCCTGGAGATGCACCGCTACAGCAGGGCCTAGGCTCCGTGGCTGGCTGCCGTAAGCAACGGACCTTCCTGAGCTGTGCATGAGCCAGCCACAACTGGGGCTCCTACCCCATCCCAGTTCTAGTCCTACCCTCCACAGGTTCTGGGCAGAAGGAAGCCCTGCACTTTCTGTGGGCAGGAACCCGGAATGCCAGGTGCAGCCACACTATGTAACCAGAATATATGCATAGCAGAGGCCAAAAAAGGCAGAGCCTAGGAATGCTGCTGCTGAACCTGTGTGTGCAAGCGGGGGCCTGGGAACAGGGCGCTGGCTTTATTCTTTCATTCATTAGTTCATTCTTTCTTTGGTTCATCCTTCCACCCACTCAGCTCACTCACACACACGGAGCTTACCTGCTGGAAGGGGAGGCAGACAGCTGGACATCCAGGTGCCATGGAGCATTACAGGGACAGGACAGATGGAGGGTGAGTATGGGGGTATGCGCACGCACATCAGGGGAAGCCAGCTCTGCCAGCAGGCAGTGGAAACATCCTAAGGAAGAAAACATCTCCAAAGATAGGTGGGTTTTTGGCAGGTAGGCCAGGCAGGGGAAGGCCATTCCAAGTAAAGGGAACTGGAGCAAAGGCATGGACATACGAAGCATCTGGTGTGTTAGAGGAACTGTAATCGGGTTGATGTGAGCAGTTGGGGAAAACCCCTGGAGAGGCCAGGGTTTGGGCACAGTCAGAGTAAGTGGGCGGACTGCTGTTAGGTGGCAGAGGCAGCTCCTCACCCCATTGGCTGAGGATTCAGCTCTAGGCCTTGCTCTGGGCCTTTAAAGCAGCAGGAGTACCTATGGAGAGATGCTGGTGGCAGGTGCCATGTCCACGGACAGGGAGCCTGCAGATCTCAAGACCCTGCATCTGGTTTTCTTTGCCACCTTCTAGGGCTTGCAGATCTGGGTGATATTTCTTTCAGACATGTCTCAGGGAAGGGACTTGTCCAGCCCATTATTTTGGCTGGGTTCCTAGGGTTGCTGAGCACTATTCATCACATGCCAGGCAGTAAGCAAAGGCACTGAATATGCTGCAACTCCTGGAGCACTGCAGCACTCCCTAACCCCCCACATTCCGCAGGAGTTTTGCCCAGATTTACAGATGATCATATTGAGGCTCAGGGTGATTGACTGACATGCACAGAACCTTTATGAAGCAGAGCCAGAGTTCAAACTAGTATCTGCTAGGTATCAAGAAGGATTCCAAGTGTAAATCAGGCTTAGAATCTCTCATACAGGCCGGGTGTGGTGGCTCACACCTGTAATCCCAGCACTTTGGGAGGCTGAGGTGGGTGGATCACCTGAGGTCAGGAGTTTGAGACCAGCCTGACCAGCCTGGAGAATCCCCATCTCTACTAAAAATACAAAATTAGCCAGGCGTGGTGGCACAGGCCTGTAATCCCAGCTACTCAGAAAGCTGAGACAGGACAATCACTTGAACCTGGGAGGCAGAAATGCGGTGATCCGAGATCACACTATTGCGCTCCAGCCTGGGTAACAAGAGCGAAACTCCATTTCAAAAAAAAAAAAAAAAAGGGAATATGAAGAAAGGAAAAAAAACAACTCATGCTGTCTACAGGCTGGAACACTACCTTTCTGGTGAGAATTTATGCTACATCTGTTTAAAAGGAATAATAAGGCCGGGTAACGGTGGCTCACACCTGTAACCCCAGCACTTTGGAAGGCGAGTCAGGCATATCACAAGGTCAGGAGTTCGAGACCAGCCTGGCCAACATGGTGAAACCCTGTCTCTACTAAAAATACAAAAATTAGCTGGGCATGGTGGCATACGCCTGTAATCCCAGCTACTTGGGAGGCTGAGACAGGAGAATTGCCTGAACCCAGGAGGCAGAGGTTACAGTGAGACAAGATTGTGCCATTGCACTCCAGCCTAGGCAACAGAGCAAGACTCCATCTCAAAAATAAATAAAAATAAAAGGAATAATAAGCCTTACAGGATGCAGTACTTTCTAGTATATTGTTCCCATTGTTTAGATAGAAAAACCAAGGCCCAGGGAGGGTGGGGACTTGCTAGGATTAGGCAGTCCCTGGGCACTGGCCCTGTCAGCAGGACCTAAGGCTCTTGCCTTCTATCCAGGGCACTCAAAAACAGGCAAGGACAGGACAGTGGCTTATGCCTTTAATCCCAATGCCTTGGGAGGCTGAGGTGGGAAGATCACTTGAGACCAGGAGTTTGAGACCAGCCTTGGCAACAGTGGGAGACCCCATCTCTACAAAACATATCTTTTAATTTTTAAAATAAAAATAAAGACACAGGTCCCTTTTCAGTCTGGCTATGCCTCTGGAATCCAGGATTTCGGGAGATGACTCCTAACGGCTGAGTCCACTTGTGGAGAGGCCCACCCTTCATGAGGCCTTAGAGCCATGGCAGTTCCTCATCTGGGATCAAGTTAGGGGAGAATCATCCTAGGCAGAGTTGTCCTATAGAGCAGCAGTCCCCAACTTTTTTGGCATCAGGGATCAGTTTGGTAGAAGACCATTTTTCCACAGGGCAGGGAGGAGGATGGTTCTGGGATGAAACTGTTCCACCTGAGATCATCAGGCATCAGATTCTCACAAGGAGCACACAACCTAGATCCCTCATGTGCACAGTTCACAGCTGGGTTCGCGCTCCTATGAGAATCTAATGCCACCACTAACCTGACAGGAGGTGGAGCTTGGGTGGTAATGCTTTCCACCCGCCGCTCAACTGCTGTGCGGCCTGGCCTCATTCCTAACAGGACATGAACTGGTACCAGTCTATGCCCCGGGGCTAGGGACTCCTGCTATAAAAGTGCCTGGTACCCATAACGACCAATGCTTACTAAGCACCTACTATGTGCCAGGTGCCAGCCATTTAATCCTCAAAACAATCCTCTGAGGAGATATTATTAAACTTCCTCACATATAAGGAAGTTTAATCCTTATGTGCTAACAATCCCTAAAATGACTTTCTCTGCCTCTCCTAGGTCTAATGGTAGGGAATGCACAGAAGACCTCATGTCCATCAGCCTCCTGGTCCTCAGGCCCTAAAGTGGCCAAAACGAGGCTTAGGAAGGAATGGAATACTTACAAAGAACTTCAGCTTCCTGGCCACAGGCCATAGGCAGGGACCAGCACTTGGAAGCTGCATGGTTCTTTGTAAGTATTCCACAGCCAATTTTCTTTCAAAGACAGTGAGGCACACTACGCAAAGCTCAAAATTAGTACACTGTTTTGTTTTGTTTTGTTTTGTTTTGAGATGGAGTCTCGCTCATCTCCCAGGCTGGAGTGCAGTGGTGCGATCTCAGCTCACTGCAACCTCTGCCTCCCGGGTTCAAGCAATTCTCCTGCCTCAGCCTCCCAAGTAGCTGGGATTACAGACGCCTGCCACCATACCTGACTAATTTTTATATTTTTAGTAGTGACGAGGTTCACTACGTTGGCCAAGCTGGTCTCCAACTCCTGACCTCAGGTGATCCACCTGCCTCAGCCTCCCAAAGTGCTGGGATTAAAGACATGAGCCTCTGTGCCCGGCCTCAAATAGTCCACTTTAAGGACAGCAGCTGGTTTTAGTTTACCGATGTATTAGTCAGCTCTGCTATAGTAACAACCAATCCCCAAATCTCATTGCTTACTATGGCAAACACTGCTCTCTGATTCCTGTGATACGCAGTGGCTGCAGGCCAGCTGCTGTAGCTCAGCTCTGTGGAATGGCTCCTCTGTGGAAAACGTGTTCTCACGGCAGAGGGAAGAGCATGGGCCAACAACGCATGGCTCTTCAGGCTTCTGTCAGACCCAGGACAGCTCATGCCCGCTCACATCCCTCTGCATCAGGAGCAAGGAAGTACACTCTCCCGGGGGGATGGGGTGGGCACTGCAAGAAGTTCCAGCTACAGGTCAGGATGGATAAACTCCTATACCCTATAACAACAGCCTGACACACTAGAAGATTTTCCAGTTTAAAAGACATAAAATCCTAAAATGTGAAAACTGCAGAGGAACTCAGAGGCCACTGTCCAAGTCTGTCACAGTCCTCCATGTGGCAATGATGAAGAAAACTGGCAGTCTTTTTACGGGTACCAGGGATCTCAGTTTGCACGGTCTTTGTAAATGCAGAGCAGGGATTTCTGCCCCCATTTCACCTCGAGGCATCTACAGCAACCCTACCTGGCTCCCTTCTGTGCTCATGAAGTAACTTGAGACCAGGGTCTCTCAGCTTGAAGCCTTGGAATCCTATGCACAGTTTGTTTGTGTGGAGATGTGCAGTTTGAGGGGTAGCTTCTCTAAGGTATCGAACTCCACAAAAGTTCAGAAACATGGATCCTGAATTCATCTCCACAGACCAGGGTGTCACTCAGGTCAGCTGCTGTGGTAACTGCAGCAGATGATCCCTTTAGATGGAGTCCAGGGACGTCCTGGCCAAGACAGAGTTTTACATCAACTGAGGAAAGTGAAGACCAGCCAGAGAGGCTGCAGTTCGGGGAAGCCAGAGGCTCCTCCCCACCGTGATGCTAGGAAGGACCATCCCCGGCTGACAGAAATAAAGCACTGGACTCCAGCAGTATGTCCAGCTGATTCAGGTGTACTAGGTTCCCAGCAGAGGAAGGTGAGGGAGGAGATCCAGGGGGCCTGACTCAGTCATCTTATCTGGTGCACCTTTCTCCCCCGGAGATAATTCTTGCAAAAAGGAGAGGATCTTACACAGACCAAAAATGCTGGTGTCAGGGCTTTTACAAAGTACCTGCCGTGAACACATTTAAAAGAGAGGGCGTTAATTGAATTACAATCTTAATCATCCATCCATCTTCCTAACAACATTCAAGGTGAGCCTTTGGATGTGAGTCAATATGAAAACACAAGTTTAGCACAGTTATTTAGCTGTTCACAAATCTAGCAAATTAGCATGACATTCTCATCCTTACAACCTAGCCAGAACTTTTAGCCCAGTTCTTCGGCATCATGCATGTCTGTGGCTAAATTTGAAATAAAACTATAAAACATAGTTTCATTAAACATTCAGTGCTAAGCCAGGCCCTGTGCTGAAAACACAGAGATTAAAAAACAAAGACACACACCATCATCTTTGTTCTTAAATTCAGTCCTAGAGGGGAGGGAGATGAGGAACCAATTAATGGCAGCAAGGCACAACTGCAGAAGCATTTGTGAGGCACAGCACTATCCCAAGGAGGCACGATTCCCTCTTCAGGGAAGGAAAATAAAAAAAGTCTTCCTGGCAGATGCCATGTCTGAACTTGGCTTTAATTTGGAGAAGGGGTTGTGATGGGGGTTGAGGAGCCAAAGCCAGGAGGTACCAAGTAACCACAAGGTTTGCTGGCTAGGTCACAAAGAAAAAGGAGTGAGGCAGGCTGGAGAGGCAGGCAAGACTTTGGCCTTCGGGGATAGGGGTGCTGCATTACTCAGTGGACTGGGTTTGGGACAGAGGGCCTATTTCGTGGCTCCACCCAGTTTAGGGTCTAAAGTTGCCGGAAACCAGTCCTGCGTAGCCTTTTGCCTATGGCAATAGTTTTAAAGGTAGCAACTTCCAACAGCATTTACATTTTCTGAGAAGCATGAAATTGGTTTCCTCCAAGCATCAGTCTGTTTTCTATTCAGATTTCTCCTACTCTCCCGAGTAGGGCAGAACTCAAGCCTTTAAAGAATTCTGGGTAATCTGCTAACTGAGAAAATGAGCAGCTGAAAATTTGTCCACAAACTGGAAGATTTGGGACCAGAGAAAAACACCACTAAAGGAGATCGTGCCACTGCACTCCAGCCTGGGTAACAAGAGCGAAACTCCGTCTCAAAAAAAAAAAAAAAAAAAAGGTAGTAATCAGATCTCGAAAAACCTTTCCTTCCTATCTACCAAGCCAAAGCCAAGGCGTTAAGACTAGCTGGACACCCCCATCACATCAGTCAACATTTCACCCACTCCATCCAATCTGCCTCCTAAACCCCTTCTTATCCACCTCCTCCTACTTCAGGCCTTACCATTGAACAGTACACTTCAAATCTTTACTCTTACTCTGTAATTTTTCTGGGGGAGTGGGGAAGACAGGGTCTCACTATCACCCAGGCTGCAGTGCAGTGGTATGATCATAGCTCACTGCAGCCTCAAAATGCTGGGTTCAAGTAATCTTCCTGCCTCAGCCTCCCAAGTACCTAGGACTACAGGTGCACATCACCAAACCTGGCCAATTTTTCAAAAAAACTTCTTTTGTAGAGACAGGATCTCACTATGTTTCTCAGGATGATCTCTAACTCCTGGGCTCAGGTGATCATCCTCAGCCTCCCAAAGTGCTGGAATTATAGGTGTGAACCACTATACCCAGCCTACTCTGTACAGCTTTTAAATCTTTTAAATTTTTAAAAAGCAACCCTGCTGTACACCATGATCAGGATAACGTTTACGCTTCTTAGCAGGGCATTCAGGCCTTCCTTTATGGCCCTAACTTAGCTTTCTAGCCTCATTTCCTACCACATCCAACCACTCTCTTTACACTAATACATTGGGCAATTTTAGCTTAAGTGCAAAAGCATCTGCTTCTCTCTGCTTTGCTTTGCTCAAAGCTTAAGGAAAAATAGTCCAAGCGTCAATTTGCAAATCTGCTGAGGGCATTCCCTTATAGTCCGGGAACACCTCACAGCTGCTCTGAGACAACTGCCAAACCCCACTTGCTGCCACTGCTAATGATAAAGATGCCCTCCTACAGCAGGTCTGCCCTGTGTAGTTCACAACAGCACTTCAACTCCTAGCCTCTCATTAGCTCTCAAATAACCCGAGAAATGTATGGGCCAAGTATTACTCCCATTCGAGAGATGAGGAGGCAGCCCCGGAGAGGCAGTGTGTACTTAGCCAGTCCTGCAGCCAGTAAATGACAACAGGTCTGACTTCAAGAGCCAATGCTCTCTTCAGATGACAGTATCAGGAGCCACGATGATGGCATGCACTAGATATCCCAGCTACTTAGGAGGGTGAGGCGGGAGGACTGCTTGAGCCCAGGAGTTCAAGACCACCCTGGAGAAGACACCCTGTCTCTATCATAAAAATAATAAAAAAAAAAATTTTTTTAGGGGCTGGGTGTGGTGGCTTACACCTGTAATTTCAGCACTTTGGGAAGCTGAAGTCGGTGGATGGCTTGAAGTCAGGATTCAAGAACACCCTTGCCAACACAGCGAAAACCCCTGTCTACTAGAAATACAAAAATTCGCCAGGCATGGTGGTGTATGCCTGTAATCCCAGCTACTCAGGAGGCTGAGCAGGAGAATTGCTTGAACCCAGGAGGTGGAAGTTGCAGTGAGCCAAGATCTCACCACTGCACTCTAGCCTGGGTGACAGAGCAAGGCTCCATCTCAAAAAACAAAAAAAAAATGTTAATTGGATGTGGTGGCTCAAACCTTTAATCCCAGCACTTTGGGAGGGTGAGGAAGGTGGATTGCTTGAGCCCAGGAGTTCAAGACCAGCCTGGCTAACATGGTAAAACCCTGTCTCTATATAAAAAATTAAAAATTAAAAATAAGAAAAAACAAACAAAAGAAACAGTATCAGGAGGCACAGGTATGGGTACAATTAGGAAAAGGAAGGAAGCTGGCTGGATCCAGTGGCTCATGCCTGTAAGCCCAGTACTTTGGGAGGCCAAGAGGGGTGGATCACCTGAGGTCAGGAGCTTGAGACCAGCTCGGACAACATGGTGAAACTCCGAGTCCATTAAAAATACAAAAATTAGCCAGGTGTAGTAGTGGGTGCCTGTAATCCCAGCTACTCAGGAAGCTGAGGCAGGAGAATTGCTTCGACCTGGGAGGTGGAGGTTGCAGTGAGCCAAGATCATACCACTGCACTCCAGCTTGGGTGGGTGATAGAGCAAGACTCCATCTCGAAGAAAAAAAAAAAAAAAAAAAAAAAAGGAAGGCCATCACAGCAGCCTTCATGTACATGTACAAAAGCCAGGCAGCTTTTCCCTTCTCCAACCAGCCTCATTTATCTTCCCTGGTCTGGAGTCTCCTGGCTGTGGTGCAGTGCGCTATCATCACACTAGAGCATGTTTGACCAATGGCTAAGTTTAAAGGGCCAGGCCAGTCTCCATGGCTGTTGTGCTCAGGGCAGAAGGGAGGGGATTATGAGGCAATCAATCAGCAGTAGAATGAGAACCTGACTATACTCCTGGGATATTGCCTGAGTGATATGGTTTGTTTCTGTATCCCCACCCAAATCTCGTCTTGTAGCTCCCATGATTTCCATGTGTTACAGGAGGAACCCAGTGGGAGATGACTGAACATGGGGGTGTGTCTTTCCTGTGTTGTTCCCATGATAGTGACTAAGTCTCACAAAATCTGATGCTTTTAAAAATCGGAGTTTTTGGCTGGGAACAGTGGCTCACGCCTGTAATCCCAGCAGTTTGGGAGTCCAAGGCAGGTGGATCATCTGAGGTCAGGAGTTCCAGACCAGCCCAGCCAACATGGTGAAATCCTGTCTCTACCAAAAACACAAATATTAGCCGGGCATGGTGGCACATGCCTGTAATCCCAGCTACTTAGGAAGCTGAGGCAGGAGAATTACTTGAACCCAGGAGGTGGAAGCTACAGTAAGCTGAGACTGCGCTACTGCACTCCAGCCTGGGCAACAAGAGCGAAACTCCGTCTCAAAAAAAAAAAAAAAGAGGAGGAATTTTTCTGCACAAGCTCTCTCTCTGCCTGCTGCCATCCACGTAAGAGGCGACTTGCTCCTCCTTACCTTCTGCCATGATTGTGAGGCTTCCCTAGCCACATGAAACTGTAAGTCCATTAAACCTCTGTTCTTTGTAAATTGCCCAGTCTCAGGTATGTCATTATCAGCAGTGTGAAAACGGACTAATACACTGAGCATCTTCCCCAGTCTACTCAGCGCCATGAGGTGACTCACCTGTGGTGCTGTAGAACCTGCAGCAAGGTGCTCTTGGCAGGCACCCGGTACAGTTCTGCCCTGTCCTCATCCTCAAAGTAGACCTGCAAGATTAACAGAAGGGCAAGAGTCAGAGATAAAACACTTCGGCAGCCTTAGGCACGCTGAGGCTAAGCCCAGGGAAAATTAAAAAGATGGCAATGGTTACTAGTTGAATGCTTCCCTTATACAGTTGTATAGCCGGGTGCTTTGCATTTAGTCCTCCTCATGCCACTGTAAGAGAGACTATTATCAGTTCCATTTTCCAAAGACAGAACCAAGGCTCAGAGACGGAGAACAACTTGCCAACATTACCCAGCTAGTAAACAGAGGAGTCAAGACTCAAGGCCAGGACTATGTAGCCTTCCCTTCCCTAACAATTCCAACTAAAGCCACCAGGTATGTGAAGGAGAAAGCTATGGTGGCTCAGAGCAGGGGAAGAGCCTGAGGAAGGTAAGAAAGATGTCCATACAGGATGTCATAGCCCAAGCAGGGTGAGAAAGACGTCTGCACAGCAAGCTGCCCAGGGTGTCAGAGCAGGACCAGTGGAGGAGGGCATCCATGCTGGGGGCCAGCCTGAGCAGGGGAAGAAGCATTCACTTGTAAGATGGATGCCTAGGGTGGGGTGTCAAGAGCCCATGGGGGGTGAAAAGGGTATCCATGCATGGGGAGAACTAATATGGAGTATATAGGCTCAACTAGGGTGAGGAGGATGACCACTCATGGCAGGGGGTGGCCTGTTATCGGTGGGTAAGAGCACAAACAGGATGAGGAGCGTGTGTAGGGTGGTTAAGCAGTGCGGGATATCAGAGTCTGTGCAGGGTGAGGAAGGCACCCACGCTGGGGTGGCAGCCTACCATGGGGAGTCAGGAATCCAAGTAGGGTGAGGAAGGCTCCACATGGGAGAGGGGCCAGTAGTGATAGGATGGGAACTGATCAAACAAATAAACATATTAAGAATAATAAAGTCAGTCTGGGCATGGTGGCTCATACCTGTAATCTGAATACTTTGGGAGACTGAGGTGGGTGGATCACTTGAGCCCAAGAGTTCACGACCAGCCTGGGCTATATGGTAAAACCCATCCCTACTAAAAATATAAAAATAAGGCATGGTGGTACATGCCTGTGGTCCCAGGTACTTGGGAAGCTGAGGTGGGAGGATCATTCGAGCCCAGGAGGTTGAGGCTGCAGTGAGCTAAGATCTCACCACTGCACTCCAGCCTGGGCAACACAGCTAGGCCCTGTCTCAAAATAAATAAATAAATAAATAAGAAGAAGAATAGTCATCATTGCAAATATAGAAAGGGAGAAAAAAATCCTGTGGGTATTGGATTAGAGTTGGAGATACCAATGAGATGTCATGGTTTTACACACACACACACTGCCAGCTGTGGCACTGACACACGTCCCAGCTGTGGCACTGAGAAAGCATTGAGGCAGTAAGCCTGCCTCTCTACCCACATTGTATTAATCAATACACTTATTGCACAGAGATCTTGGCTTCTAAATATCATGCTTCACTAGAAAGAAACAGGGCTCCTTGGGGAAAATAGCTGATTCCCAGAGCTGGGGCAAGGAAAGCACATTTGAACCTATAACATCTTGTGTAAGAAAGCAACCACTTAAAAAATAGACACAAGCCAAAGTGACACAGAAACAAATTAGAAGAGATTTCCCCTGGCCAAATCTGGGATATTTCGAGCATAAAAGAAACAATCATAGTTTCAGATTCTAACTCATTAAATAAAACAAGAAACTATAAATCCACCAATATAAATAAATGTTGAAGGTCTGATGAGCAATGGGATATTTACACCATTTCAAAGGATCTCCCTATAAAACACTTATTAAATAAGAAAGTAACTGTACAGTAGAGAAGGCTGGCAGACCCCAAATCAATCAGGTGATCAGAGTGAACAACATCAGTAATGGGGCAAGTGGAGATCACGTGATAGTGCAATGAGAATACAGCATCACTTCTGTAATATTCCAGCCAAATATGCATAATCCAGGCCGGGTGCAATGGCTCACACCTGTAATCCCAACACTTTGGGAGGCCGAGGCAGGCGGATCATCTGAGGTCAGGAGTTCGAGACCAGGCTGGCCAACATGGCAAAACTCCATCTCAACTAAAAATACAAAAAATTAGCCAGGCATGGTGGCAGATGCCTGTAATCCCAGCTATTCGGGAGGCTGAGGCAGGAGAATCACTTGGAGCTGGGAGGTAGGGGCTGCAGTGAGCCAAGATTGTGGTACTGCACTTCAGCCTGGGCAACAAGAGCAAAACTCCATCTCAAAACAAACAAACAAACAAACAAATACACATAATCCAAATCTAGTCAGAAGGAAATATCAGACAAACCCATACGAACAGACATTCCACAAAATAAGTGGTCTGTAATTTTCAAAGGTGTTAAGATAAAGGAAGTGTTCTGCAGTTGAGTCACATGATCACAAAAATATGAATAAAAAAATTTTTTTAAGGAAAAAAAAAAAAAAAAACGGAGGAAAAGCTGAGGAATTCTTCCATACTGAAGGAGACTAATGGGACATGATCACTAAATACAGTATGTGATTCCGAACAAAATCCTTTTGCTATAAAGAATTTGTGAAACCCAAATGGAGTCTGAGGGTTAAATGGTAGGAGTGAAATAATGTAAATTTCCTGCTTTGATAGCTATATGGGTATTATAAACAAAAATGTCCTTGTGTATAGAAAATACACACTAGTATTCAGGGGTAATGGGACATCAGTTGCTGTCTTACTCTCAAATGATTAGAAAGAGATAATTCTTTATACTGGAAATTGTGATTTTTTTTTTATTTGAGAAATCCCAACAATGGAATGTTATTGGGCCTTAAAAAGGAAAGAAATTCTGGCTGGGCATGGTGGCTCACACCTGTAATCCCTGCACTTTGGAAGGCCAAGGCAGGTGGATCACTTGAAGCCAGGAGTTTGAGACCAGCCTGGCCAACATAGCAAAACCCTATCTCTACTAAAAATACAAAAAAAAAAAATTAGCTAGGCATGGTGGTGCATGCCTGTGATCCCAGCTACTCAGGAGCCTGGGGCATGAGAATCACTTGAACCTGGGAGGCAGAAGTTGCAATCATCTGGAATCATCTGCACTTCAGCCTAGGTGATAGAGCGAGATTCTGTCTCAAAAACTAAAAATAAATAAATAAAAAGAAAAATCTGGCCAGGCGTGGTGGCTTACACCTGTAATCCCAGCACTTTGGTAGGCTGAGAGGAGTGGATCACTTGAGGTTAGGAGTTCTAGACCAGCCTGTCCAATAGGGTGAAATCCCATCTCTACTAAAAATACAAAAATTAGCCGGGTGTGGTGGCAGATGCCTGTAATCCCAGCTACTCAGGAGACTGATGCAGGAGAATTGCTTGAACCTGGGAGGCGGAGGTTGCAGTGAGCCGAGATCATACCACTGCACTCCAGCCTGGGTAAAAGAGCAAGACTGTGTCTCAAACAAAAAAAAAAAAAAAAAAGGAAATTCTGACACATGCTACAATATGTATGAACCTTGAAGACATTATGCTAAGTGAAATAAGCCAGACATAAAAACTGTATGATTCCACTTATACGAGACACTCGAGTTTCAATTTGGGATTATGAAAAAGTTTTGGAGATGGCAGGTGGTAATAGTTGCACAACAATGTGAATGTACTTAATGCCACTGAACTGTATACCTAAAGATGGTCAAAATAGCAAATATTATGTCATGTATGTTTTACTATAATTTTCAAAAAAATAAAGCAGTCAATTCCTACCCACTCTACCAGCCTTCCCATCCCACCCCCACACTGCAAAAAAAAAAAAAAAATTCCATAGAGTAATGAAATAAAAGTTCTCTTACCTCCAAATTATCAGGGCAATATTTTTGCTCTAGGTCCCAAGAGGGTGTTTCACCAAACATCACCATTAGATGATCAATAAACCTAAGGATAAAACATGTACTTTCTGGGTATCAATAACTCATGATCTATTTTCCCACATCAGTCCCCAGACACTCATTCAGAGATACCTAGAATGTATAAACATGAAACGCAGGCTTAACCCATTTCACAGCAGTACCCAAAATGTGTATATGTATCACTTGTCCTATTATGACATAATTTTCTTTCTTTTTTTGGGGAAGACTGGGTCTCGCTCTGTCACCCTGGCTAGTGACAACAGCTCACTGTAGCCTCGACTTCCCGGGCTCAAGCAATTCCTCTACCTCAGCCTCCTGCATAGCTGGGACTACAGGCACATGCCACCATGCCTGGCTTTTTTTCTTTTTTTATAGAGACAGGGGGTCTCACTATGTTACCCAGGATGGTCTTAAACTCCTGGGCTCAAATGATCTTCCAGCCTCAGCCTCCCAAAGTATTGGGATTACAGATGTGAGCCACAGCACCTGACTGACAGAATATTCTCTCTCTTTTTTTTTCTTGAGACAAAGTCTCACTCTGTCACACAGACTGCAGTGCACTGGCACAATCTCTGCTCACTGCAACCTCCATCTCCCAGGTTCAAGCTATTCTCATGCCTCAGCCTCCAGGCAACTGGGACTACAGGCATGCATCACCACACCTGGCTAATTTTTTTATATTTTTAGTAGACACAGGATTTTGCCATGTTGGCCAGCTTGGTCTTGAACTCCTGGTCTCAAGTGATCCGCCTGCCTTGGCTTCCCAAAGTGCTGGAATTACAGGCATGAGCCACCATGCTTGGCAGACATAATTTTTTAAAAACCGATTCAGGCTTAAAAACATTTCTGGGGAGGCCGAGGCGGGTGGATCACAAGGTCAAGAGATCGAGACCAACCTGGTCAACATGATGAAACCCCGTCTCTACTAAAAATGCAAAAAATTCGTCGGGCATGGTGGCGCGTGCCTGTAATCCCAGCTACTCAGGAGGCTGAGGCAGGAGAATTGCCTGAACCCAGGAGGCGGAGGTTGCAGTGAGCCGAGATCGTGCCATTGCACTCCAGCCTGGGTAACAAGAGCGAAACTCCATCTCAAAAAAAAAAAAAAAAAAAAAAAAAAAAAAAACATTTCTGGCTCACGCCTATTTAATTCCAGCACTTTCAGAGACCAATGTGGGAGGCTCATTTGAGCCCAGGAGTTCAAGACAAGGCTGGCAACATAAAGAGATTCTGTGTCTACCAAAGAATTTAAAAATTATCCAGATGTGGTGGTGTTCACCTGTGATTCCAGCTACTTGAGAGGCTGAGGGAGGAGGATCACCTGAGCCTGGGAGATGGAGGCTGTGATGAGCCATAATCACACCAATGCACTCCAGCCTGGGTGACAGAGTGAAACCTGGTCTCAAAAAAAAAAAAAAAAAAAAAAAAAATTACAAAAATACTTTCTTACACTTAGCTTCATTCTATGTATTAACCTTATGAAATCACCAATTAAGTTGGCTAGTTTTATATATATGTATATATATTTGAGACAGAGTCTTGCTCTGTCGCCCAGGCTGGAGTATGGTGGTGCAATCTCAGCTCACTGCAACCTCCACCTCCCAGGTTCAAGCAATTCTCATGCCTCAGCCTCCTGAGTAGCTGAGATTACAGATGCCTGGATAATTTTTTTTATTTTTAGTAGAGACAGGGTTTCACCATGTTGGCCATGCTGGTCTCAAACTCCTGGCCTCAAGTAATCCACCCAACTTGGCCTCCCAAAGTGCTGGGATTGCAGATGTGAGCCACAGCACCCGGCCTCTATATTTTTTTCTAATATTCACTTAAATTACTATGCATGTACTGCCTGAAATGACTTCATATTTCACCAGTGACATGTACCACTCTTTGGCAAACACAACACTGCGGCATGACGATGAGACTTTTGTCTGTCGTTGCAAACCTAGTTAGTCAAGGTTCAGTCAGCTACAGGATAGAGAGGTTATTATCAAGCCATATTGTGTGAAACCCTATAAACTATTATCTTCCCTTCTCAACCAAAAACCCACTGGTCCTACTGCCACAAAACAGAGAAAGCATGCAAGCAAAAGTAGAGGGCTCCTGGGCAAGTCAGTACCTGGAGTCCTCATGAAAAGCAGAGATGAAGTCCGACTGGGCATACTCCGGGTACAGAAAGAGCACAGGCCAGCTCAGCCTGCCCTGGTCATCTAGACTCAGCCTGGCTCCATGGGGGTTCTCAGAGCTAAGCCCATCCAGGAAAAGCTCACCTAGACCTTCTGAGGCTGAATCTTCATCCTCACAGACACCTTCAGAGAGCCTGATATTCCTAGCCTGGATTGAAGACAGAAACACACATAATGCACACCTTACTGTGTGGGAAGATGCAAACCCATTTTACTGAAATTAAAAAAAAAAAAAAAAAAAACCTGGCTAATTTTTTTTATATTTATTTTTATTTTTTATAGAGATGGAGTTTCACTATATCGTCTAGGCTGCACAACTAACTTTAGTTTTCATTTAATTTTCTCCATCTGTACCCTGAATGAACATGGCCAACTAACTTTAATACACCAAAAGTTAAAAAAACGAACCACAACAATGCGAGCTCCCTGAGGGCCAGCTCTACACATAATCCATCTTCATTATGCCTGAGGCCTGGCACATAGTAGGTAACACTTATTTAACTCACTTTCATTGGGCATCTATCTTGTGCTGGACCCCGTGTCACAGAGAACTAGACATGGTTACCTGCTGTCAAGCCTCTGCTCAATATCAAGTGGTGAGACAGCTATGGAAATATGACAATATAAAGTAAGAAGCAGAACTGTGGAACTGCAGACTATGGAATAATTAATTCAGCCTGGGGGCTGGAGGTGATTGAGCTATGCTAGGCCTTGAACAATGACTTTTAAAAGCAGGGAAGTTGGAAGGGAGGGGCACCTAGAAGGGAGGAAGAACATTCCACTCCAAGGAGCAGCATGTGCAAAAGCATAGAAAAGATCAAGAAGGAAGCCTGTACAGAAATGTCAAATGCTTCAGTTTAGCTGGGACATGGAATATACTAGAAAGAATGTGCACTGACTGATTCTTGACTGTCTCTTAGAAATGGGCATAAATCAAGGGTCTGAAATAATAGGGTTACCTCTTACGTATGTGTGCAGGGGTTCCTAAGGTTAGCACGTGAGGGGAAATGACATGCAATCAAAATTAGATTTGATGATATTCCCTAAATTGCAGGTTGGCAAACTTTTTCTTAAAGTATTAGATAAGAAATATTTTAAGAGTTCTGGACAATGGTCTCTGTCAAAATGAACTACCCAACTCTGCCACTGTAGTGTGAAAACAGCCATAAGCAGTACATAAACAAATAGGCAGGGCTGTGTTCCAATGGCTGCAGTTTGCTGACTCGTCCCTTAAGCCATTAGTAAAATACAGAATACATGGCTCATGCACTGTTAAGAGTAATTCCTATGTATGTTAAGTTTGAGATGAAGGATTACACTAAAGGAGAGAGAAAAAAAAAAAAAAGTATGTATGCAAATGTCTGGGTGTCTGGGCATCCTGTATTCTACATTTAAGAAAATGAACAAATCCCTCACTGTGAATGAGAATTAGATGGAAAATCTGCAGTATTTTGATCTGTTTACTGTGATAATACATGTAAACAGATTGTTGTGGGGAGAGAATAGTGGAGTACATTTTAGCAGTGTTAAGTTTCTTACAGAACATAAATGGGTGCATACCTTAACTGAACAAATAATAAAACAAAAGGCCTCTCCCACAGTCTCCCAATAGATATTCTCTCTCCTTGCTTGTGAAGACCAAACAAGGTCAAACAGGTGACTTCCTAGGTAACAAGCTTAAAGCAAGATTTGGGTCAGAGTACATATATTTCAAAATACAGGAAAGAGAACGGAGGTTAGGATTTTGTTGTTGCTGTTATTATAGGAGCAACATCCTAAAATGTCAGGCTTTCTCAAGATGCAATATAATGCAGTGATTAAGAGCAAGAACCTGGCTCTAACAAGCTAACTGTGTAAGGTTTCTTCACCTCTCTGAAACTATTTCATTATCCAGCAAAACAGGAGCAAGATAACCTATCTCAGAAGGCCATTGTGAAGGTTGAATAACACACAACCCGAAGCAGGTATTCAGTACAGTAGTGTCCCCTTATCCACGGTTTCGCTTTCTGCAGTTTCAGTTACCAGTGGTCAACCATGGTCTGAAACAATTAAACAAAAATTTCAGAAATAAACAACCTGTAAGTTTTAAATTATGCACTGTTCTGAGTAGCATATGATGAAATCACAGGCTCTGCTCCTTTGTCCAGTGCATCCATGCTGTTGATGATACCTGTTAGTGAGTTACTACCTGACTCAATGATCAGATTCACTGACACAGTATCACAGTGCCTGTATTAAGTAACACTCGTTTTACTTATTAAGGACCCCAAAGCACAAAGAGTACGGATGCTGGCAATTCAGATATGCCAAATAGAAGCTATAAAGTACCTCCTTTAAGTAAAAAGGTGATCCTCAATTAAAAAAAAAAATTGTATGCTGAGATTGCTGAGATCTACGGTAAAAGCAATCTTCTGTGAAATTATGAAGAAGGAAAAAGAAATTCATGCTAGTTTTGCTGTTGTACCTCAAACTGCAAAAATTATGGCCACAGTATGTGACAAGTGCTTTAGCTGAGATGGACAAGGCATTATGTTTGTGGGTGAAAGACACAAACAGAAATGTATTCTGACTGATGGCAATCAGGTTCGGTACTATTTGAGATTTCAGGCATCCATTGTGGATCTTGGAACACATGTGCCTCAGATAAGCGGAGACAACTGTACATGTCACTGAGACCAACACGTGCACACAAGTAAGAGAGCTGAGTGAACTGGGGTGACCTGACAGACTCCTCTGTCACACTGCTTTACCACAGTAGAAGGAACATGAACAAATTCCTTCAGGTAAAGCATCCTAAGAAAGGTTCCCAACAAGCTCCACAGGATTAGTGAATTTAGCAGGACCCTAAAAACCTAAGGTTTGAGAACTCACCTTGATGGCCTGGAGTAAAGCCTCATTCTGATTCCTCTCCTTCTTTTCTTTCAAGTTGGCTTTCCTCACATCCCTCTGTTCAATTCGCTAAAAAGTGAAATTTACATGCATCAGCTTTAGAGACCTGAGTTCCTCTTCCATTGCCCCCAGCCTCCTCCTAAATTATCATCTCTGGTCTCTATCCAAGCCAAGCTCCTGTGTTAAGTAACACCAGTGGCCAGATTCAGTTCAACAAACATTTACAAAGTACATGCTGGCAGAAGTTTAAATCTACTTCCTGTACCCAAGGAACTCATAGTCTACTGAGAGGTTGAGGGGTACAGACAAATGAAGAGCCAAGTATAACAGGTAGATTACGTACTACTCTGGTGGCGTGAACCGAATGCTATGAAACACAGCCTGGGTGATAGAGACCCTGTCTCTATAGGTTTTTTTAAAAAAAAATTATCACCACCTGGTGGGTATGAAATGGTATCTTACTGTGGTTTTGATTTGCATTTCCTAATTATTAATGATGTTGAGCATCTTTTCATGTGCTTTTTGGCCGTTTGTGTGTCTTTGGAGAAGAGTCTATTCACATCCTTTGCTCATTTAAAAAACTGAGTTTCCTGTCTTATTACAAGTTGTTTATATATTGTAGATAAAAGTCCCTTATGACTTATGACTTACAAATATTTTCTTCCGGCCGGGCGCGGTGGCTCAAGCCTGTAATCCCAGCACTTTGGGAGGCCGAGGCGGGCGGATCATGAGGCCAAGAGATCGAGACCATCCTGGTCAACATGGTGAAACCCCGTCTCTACTAAAAATACAAAAAATTAGCTGGGCATGGTGGGGTGTGCCTGTAATCCCAGCTACTCAGGAGGCTGAGGCAGGAGAATTGCCTGAACCCAGGAGGCGGAGGTTGCCATGAGCCGAGATCGCGCCATTGCACTCCAACCTCGGTAACAAGAGCGAAACTCTGTCTCAAAAAAAAAAAAAAAAAAAAAAAAAAAAAACAAATATTTTCTTCCATTCTGTGGGCTGTCTTTTCACCTTTTTTTTTTTTTTTAGGTAGAGACAAGGTCTCATTTTGTTCATTTTGTTGCCCAGGCTGGTCTTGAATTCCTGGCCTCAAGTGATCCTCCTGCCTTGGCCTCCTAAAATGCTAGGATTACAGGTGCAAGTCACTATACCCAGCCCCTTTTCACTTTTTTCTTCACATTTATCTTAACTCAAGCTTTTCACTTTTTTGATGGTATCCTTTGAAGCACAAAGTTTGACTTCTAATGAAGTCCAATCGATCTACTTTTCCTTTTGTTGCTTGTGCTTTGTTTCATATCCAAGTTCATGAAGCATTATATCTATGTTTTAAGAGTTGTATAGCCTCAGCTCTTACATTTAGGTATTAGATCCTTTTTGGGTAACTTTTTATATAGCGTGAGGTAAGTTTCCAGCTTAATTCTTCCACATGTGAATATCCAGTTGTGCCACCATCACTTGTCGAAAAGATTATCTCCCTATTGAATGGTCTTGGCATACTTGTTGAAAATAAATTCCCCATAAATAGGGGTTTATTTCTGAGCTCTCAATTTTATTACATTCAGTTATATGTCTATTCTTATGCTAGTACCACAATGCCTTGATTACTGTAGCTCTGTGGTATGTTTTGAAATTGGGAAGTGTAAGTTTTCCAATTCTGTTTCTTTTGTCTCTCATGATTGTTGGTTATTCAGAGTCCCTTGAATTTCTATATGAATATTATGGTCAGCCTGTCCATTTCTGCAGAGAAGTCAATTGGACTTTTGATACAGATTGCATTGAAATTAGCCAGATGTGGCATTACATGCCTATAGTCCCAGTTGCTTGAGAGACTGAGGCAGGAGGGCTGCTTGAGCCCAGGACTTTTGAGGTTGCAGTGAGCCATGACCATGCCACTGCACTCCAGCCTGGACAACAGAGAAGATCATGTCTCAAAAAAAAAAAAAAAAACACTAAATTGATATACTAATTTTGGTAGTGTTGCCATCTAACAATATTAAGATCTGATCTATGAACATGGAATGTCTTCCTATTTACTTAGGTCTTTAATTTCTTTCAACAATGTTTTTTGTATTTTCAGAGTATAAGTTTTAGCTACTTTTGTTAAATGTATTCCTAAGTATTTTTTGATGTTATTAAAAATTGAATTGTTTAATTTCATTTTCAGAGCATTGATTAAAAGTCTATAGAATACAAATGATTTTTGTGTATTGATGTTGTTTCCAACAAGCTTGCTAAACTTGTTTATTAGTTCCAATAGTTTTTTAGTGGCTCCCTTAGGATTTTCTATATACAAGGTCATGTTGCCTGCATATAGATGGTTTTACTACTACTTCTCTTCCACTCTTTCATTTTTGAAGAATAGGTTTGCTAGATATAGAATTCTTAGAGTCTATTTCTTTTAACACTTTGAATATGTCATTTACCTGCCTTTTAGCCTTCATGGCTTCTGATGAAAAAGCTGTTAATTTTCTTTAGGATTTTCTGTACATGAAGCATCATTTTTCTCTTGCTGCTTGTAAGGTTCTTTGTTTTTCAACAGTTTCATTATAATGTGTTTAAGTGTAGATTACTTTAAGTTTATCCCACTTGTAGTTTGTGAAACTTTTGGATGTATCCTTCACTGTTTTTCATCAAATTTGGGACGTTTCTGGCCAATATTTCCCCAAGTATTCTTTTGCCCATTTCTCTCTCTCCTCTCCTTCCAGGACCCTCGTTATGCCTTTGTTGGTATGCTTGATGGCATCGTACAAGTCTCTCTTCATCCTTATTCTTTTTTCATTCTGTTCTTCAGACTGGATAATCTCAACCAATACATGTTAAGTGTCATGATTATTACTGCCTGCTCAAATGTGCTGTTGAGCCCCTCCAGTGAATTTTTCATTTTAGTTATTGTACTTTTCAACTAAAGAAAATCTGTTAGGTTCTTTTTAGTAATTTCTCTTTGTTGATATTCTTTATTTGGAAAGACATCATTCTCATTCTTCTTTTTAGTTCTTTAGACACTATTTCCTTTCATTCTGAAAAGATATTTAAATTAGCTGGTTTAAAGTTTTTGTCCAGTAAGTCCCATTCTAGCCTTCCTCTACCTAATGACTAGACAGAGATTTCTCTAAACATCTAGATCAAATAAGTCTTTCAATCTTTGTCAAGAGCCTTCGTGTATATGCTGAAGCACACTTTTAGCATTCACCCAAGCAGTTTACAATTCTGCCTTAGCCTTCACTTCCTGCTTCCAGAGACTCTGAGAGCTTAGGGTCTACTCAGGTCTTTCCTGAGCATGAGTATAGCCCTGGGCACATATGTGACCACCTAGATCCCCCTGAAGCTTTCAAAGCCCCTACAGAATTTCATTCCCTAGTTTTTCTTTTTAAGCTTTATGATACGCCTATTGTTTGCTCCAAGTGCTATCCACTGCTTCAGGTTCTGCACTCTTTAACAATTGCCTCTAATTGTTTTTGACAAATTCTCTCCCACCTTTTCATTCCCCCTACTTTCTGTCCCTATGTAAAAAAGCTTTTCATACTGGGTATGCTCCAAGTCAGGTCATATAAAAATAGCCCTGTGAGCAGGGTCTTCCAGGGATCCACTAGATGGTCAAATCATGACAGTTCTCTGGGAACAAGGCTTTGAAAGAGCTCTAACCCTGTTCTGCCTCCTCTGGTGGCTTCAGGCTGCTCATTCTCACCATGACTGTGGGCTGCTGGCTTTCAAGGCTACTGTGGAACTGGGGAGGAGGAGATAATAGAGCAAGATAAAATGCCACAAAGGGCCAGACATGGTGGCTCATGCCTGTAATCCTGGCATTTTGGGGGCCAAAGCAGGAGGATGACCCAAGGTCAGGAGTTTACGATCAGCCAGGCCAACATGGTGAAATATCAACTCTCCTAAAAATATAAAAATCAGCTAGGTGTGATGGCACATACTTGTAATCCCAGCTTCTCAGGAGGCTGAGGCAGGAGAATCGCTTGAACCCAGGAGGCAGAGGTTGCAGTGAGCCAAGATCGTGCCACTGCACTCCAGCTAGGGCAACAGAGTGAGACTCTGTCTCAAAAAAACAATAAAAACGATAAAAATAAAATAAAATAAATAAATAAAATGCTACGAAGCTTGCTATTCTTACTGAGGTTCTATCATTTTTCTTGAATAAACATGCCCCAGATTGCTGCAAACTACTGGTTCATTTCCAGTCTTAGGAAAGTTGATTCTGACCATTTTTGCCAGTTTCCTCATTGATTTTATGGAAGAGAAAATTTTTGAAGGTCTTTAGTCCACCACTGTGTCTGACATTACCCATCTCTATTTTTTAAATACTGGTTTTATTAATTACTGAGAGAGTTGATATTTCTACCTATTTGTGGATTTATCTCTTCCTTCTTTGGTTGTCAAGTTTTGTGTCATGCATTTTGAAGCTGTTACTAGGTGCTACACATTTAGAATTGTTAAATATTCTTATAAGCTGGTCCTTTTATCATTAAAAAAATCCTTCAATGGCTGGGCACAGCAGCTCATGCCTGTAATCCCAGCACTTGGAAAACTAAGGCAGGAGGACTGTTGAGCCTGAGAGTTTGAGACCAGTCTGGGCAACATAGTGAAACCCCGTCTCTACAAATTTTACAAATTGAAAAAATAAAAAATTAGCCTGGTATGGTGGTGCACGACTATAGGTCAAGCTACTCAGGAGGTTGAGGTAGGAGGATCAGTTGAGCTCAGGAGGTCAAGGCTGCAGTAAGCCATGATCATGTCACTGCACTCCAGCCTGGGCAATAGAGCAAGACTCTACCTCAAGAAAAAAAAGAAACAAAGCTTCACTTCATCTCTGGTAATACTTGCTACCTAGAAGTCTATTCTGTCTGATATTAATAGAGCCACAAGTCTGTTGGCTACATATGCCAAGCATATAGGAATCCAGAATCAATCTGTACTCAGACACAGGGGAATAATGTAGCTATTCAGCAAGCAGTGTCACCTAGACTTAATTATCAGGCTTCTGGCCCTTGAAATCTCCCTCTTTAATTGTGACTGTCCCCAGTAATCCTCTAGACATTCATTCCTGTATGTGCCACTTTCAGAAATTCTAGCCACACCCAATTACCCGGGCTCAGAATTGTCATTGAGCCATCTGGGTCCATAGAGATCTACCTTTTCTACCATTTCATATGACCAGAATGACCTCTGGTCATTGCTAATATGTGACATTTCTGGCATATAATAGCTAAAGTGATGATAAAAACAGTAATAATAGCAGAATATCATCACTACCCAAAATAATATCCAACATTTAAATAGCACTTACTCTGTATATGTTCCAGGTGCTATTTAAAAAACATTACTTATGTTAAACTATCTAAACTATATAATAGCTCTATAAGGTAGTAAGTATTTTAATTCTCCTTTTACTAGTGAGGTAGCTAACGTACAAGGAGATCAGGAAGTTGTCCAAGTCGCACAACTGTCGTGAAGGGAATCTTCAAATTCAGGCAGTGGCTCCAGAGTCTAAGCTCTTGGCCACTGTGCAATATTTCCTTACATGCCTGTTAATAGAAAGCCAGAACTAGTCTTAAGGTCTCTGAATTCCTGGCTTAGATCTGTCTTCATTGTTCATACTACGTAATGGGAGTATATAATATATATTGAGAGTCTTTAGCTGGCCCCAAACATGTGACATTGTTATGTGACTGTATATAGTAATGGTATCTAATTTTGCCCTGGATAAGACATATCCCCATGCAGATTGATGGGAATACATTCTGAAAAATGTACAATCATTGTTGTACAGGAATCACAGAATATACTTATACAAACTGAGATGGTATATCCTGCTACATATCTAGATTATATGGTACAGCCTATTGCACCCAGGCTACAAACCTATATAGCACATAACTACTCTGAATACTGTAGGCAACTGTAACACAATGTTAAGTATCAGTGTAGCTAAACACATCTAAACACAGAAAAAGTACAGTTATAATAGGACATTATCATCTTATGGGACCACTGTAACATGTGCAGTGTTCCATCACTGAATGAAACACTGTTACATGGCACATGACTATACTAAGCTATACACACCATCTATCCTTGCTTACCTCTATATCACACTATAACTGTTTGTCTGTTTACTCGTCTGTGTCCTCCACAGAGTTCCAAGAGTAGGGACTAGTTTTGGGTTTTGATTTTTAAAAGTTTACAATGATTTGAAAGACACAATCTTGGGAATGCTAATTAGCAATACTAATCCGGCTGTTGACAGTCACCAACCTTCAGCTTATCTGCTTTAGCCCTCATTTCCAGAAGCTTCTTCTCTGTGGCATCTATCTGCAGTCCCTCATCACACCAGTTCACGGCCTCAGCAAAGTGTTTCAGTTCCAGATGGCATAAGGCACCTGCAGAACCCAGAACCCTTAGCATCCAAGAACAATATGCACAGAAAAAGCCTGCTTTGAGCAAGATCTCCCACCCCCACCAACTATCAGCCAGCCCCCTGGAGGCAAAATGGAGGATAATGCCCTTATATTGCAGTCCCCAGACAAAGAAGAATATTTTTTGTATCCTAGATCAGAAAAATCCCTAAGGTCCATTTAGTTCAAAACTGCTGTACATCTCCCTGGTATTAAGGGCTCTTAAAGTAGGAAAAGCTATAACTTGTGGCAAAGAGAACAGACTTTTTGAAACCAGATACATCAAGGCTAGAAATCTGGCTGTGTTATATACCAGCTAGACCTTAGACAAAGGACCAAGCATATGCAAGCTTTAGGTTCATCCGCAAACAAGAAGATTAAAGTCCATCCCAGATTATTTTTTAAATGGAGGGAGACAGCAGAATTTGCTTCATCTACTCATCAAGGCAGTGGCAAGGCCAAAGACAATAGGTCTCTCCTAATTTTGTTCTTTATGGCTACCAGTTTAAGCTGCCTTTCCCCCATCATAAAAAAACTTTAAATGTTATCATGTACATCTTTCTCCAGTTAGCCTCTTTAGGTTTTCCACAGAATTTCAAAATATAGGAATTGTAAGGGCTTAGATGTCAACAGAATCTAACCTTATCTTCCAGAGATGAACAAATTGATATTCAAAGTGGTGTCTTGCTAAGGTCACATTGTAAATTAAACCAACAACTGAACCAAGGATTACAAACTTCCAGCCTGAGGCAAATTCCACAGAACTACCTAGATTCAATTTATCAGCAAATCTTTGTTCAGTACCTTCTTTTCCTACAGCTGAGGGACATGGATCTGCCTACTGCCCTTAACCATGAACATTTAAAAAGGCATAATTTTGATAAAGCATTTTAAGCGGGTCCATGGGGATGCAGGGAAGATTAAAATGTGATGAATAAATTAAAGTTTGCAAAGCACCTATGAGCTTCTCAAAGAAAAGGTGAAGTATAAAAGTAATAAAAGCACTATTATTACATAGAAAGGTCAGACTACAAGAGAAAACATTATCTGGGAACATCTCAGCACCAGCGTGATCAGCAAAGGTCCCATAACTTATCTTTTAATTAACATTAACATGGCATTTAAAACCTTGCCTTTCAATCAGCTAATTTGAAAAAAAAAAAAAAATCAGAATGTGGCTTTTGTAACTGCTTTGTTTTAATTAATTTTATTATGTATTAATTTAAAATGAGGGGTTTCTATTTCTCTACAAATTCTTAAAACATAAAGGGTTAAGTCATTCTCTGAGGAATTCTCTTAAAAGTGGCATGTTGCTGTTGATAAAGAACAGGAACTGAATGCCCAGACTCCAAAAATAAGATGACTTTATTAGTATCCTAGCACCTTCATATCAAAGCTTTAAATGTCAACTTTTTGGTGCAGTGAGTGCTAGCTTTTCCATAATGACAATCATACTGCAGTTCTACAAGACTTACCTCTTATTATTGCTTTGAGGTGGCAGGGTTTTAGCTTTCTGGCAGCCGTCACATCATTGAGAGCAGAACGAAAATTGCCTAACAAAACACCGTTTAGTAAGAGAGAAGTTTTGAGATCAAAATTTTATATGTAGTGACAAAGGCACTCTTGTACAATCTTGAAGAAATACAAATGACAGCAACTGTTTTTAGAAAAAATATAGTTGTACTCATCATGAACCTCAGAAATAACTATAACATCAGGCAATCTACAGAATTGTAAATGGCTAGTAAGCACATGAAAAGATGTTCAACATCACTAATGATTAGGAAATTAAAATTAGAAATTGGTAAAAGTTAGACAAATAGTAACTAGTATTGGAGAAGATGTGGAAAGGGGCACTCTTAGGATAAATTAGAAAGCAAATTAGCATGTACTTTGTACATACACTTTGACCCAACAATTTTCTTTTGGAAAATTATCAAAAATACTTGAACAAGGGCCGGGTGCGGTGGCTCACGCCTGTAATCCCAGCACTTTCGGAGGCCGAGGCAGGTGGATCACGAGGTCTAGAGATCGAGACCATCCTGGTCAACATGGTGAGACCCCGTCTCTACTAAAAACACAAAAAATTAGCTGGGCATGGTGGCGCATGCCTGTAATCCCAGCTACTCAGGAGGCTGAGGCAGGAGAATTGCCTGAACCCAGGAGGCGGAGGTTGCGGTGAGCCGAGATCGCGCCATTGCACTCCAGCCTGGGTAACAAGAGCGAAACTCCGTCTCAAAAAAAAAAAAAAAAAAAAAAATACTTGAACAAATATGCAAGAATAAATGTAAAAGCATGCTAACTACAGCATCACTTTAAGTGTGAAAAGCTGGGAGATAACCCAAATATCCTCAATTGGTTAATGATTACATAAATTATGGTAAATCCATACTATTGAATATTATGTAGCCATTAAAAAGAGTGAGATAGATCCTCATGTAACAGACATGGTAGGATGTCTGTTCTATACTGTTTAACTGGTGGTTCTATGAGTTAGAAGAAGTCTATTTTTTTAAAAAAAACAAACCTAACTAAATATATAGACACATACACATATATCTGTAAGTGCATTTAAAAAAAAAAAAAAGATATGTAATCATACACATATCAGTTGTCCAAACTAGGAAGCCATGAGGTATACTTTAACATTCTGGAGTATACTGTGATTATTACTTAATGGTTTAGGTATGTACCTAAATCTCTAGTCCAGGGGTCAGCAAAATATTTTGTAAAGGGCCAGATAAATATTTTAGGTTTTGCAGGCCACATGTGGCCTATTGCATGTTCTTTGTTTTATTACAATTATTGAAAAATGTAAGAAACATCTGGGGAAGTGGCTCACTCCTGAAATCCCAGCACTATGGGAGACAGAGGTGAGAGGATTGCTTAAGACCAGGAGTTCAAGACCAGCCTGAGCAACACAGCAAAACTCTTTCTACAAAAAAAAAAAATTTAAAAATTAGCTGGGCATGGTGGTACATGCCTATAGTCCTAGCTACTCAGGAGGCAGAAGTGGGAGAAATGCTTGAGCCCAGGAGTTTAAGACTGCACTGAGCTATGATCATGCCACTGCACTACAGCCTGAACAGAGTAAGACCCTGTCGCTTAAAAAAAAAAAGATAGATATGGAACATTTTTAGTTCACAGCAAGCCAAGGGGCCAGAGGTGGACTCTGAGTCACAGTTTGCCAAATCCTGCTGTAGCCTAATAAATAATCTAAATCATTTGGTTTTGTTTTCTGAGACGGAGTTTCACTCTTGTTACCCAGGCTAGAGTGCAATGGCGCGATCTCGGCTCACCGCAACCTCCGCCTCCTGGGTTCAGGCAATTCTCCTGCCTCAGCCTCCCAAGTAGCTGGGACTATAGGCGTATGCCACCATGCCCAGCTAATTTTTGTATTTTTAGTAGAGACACGGTTTCACCATGTTGACCAGGATGGTCTCGATCTCTTGACCTCATGATCTACCCGCTTCGGCCTCCCGAAGTGCTGGGATTATAGGCATGAGCCACTGTGCCCGACCAATAATCAAAATTATTAGAAAAATATTATGACTTTATTTGTTTTTACATTATTTATAAAAACCAAAAAACAGCCTATATACTCAACAATAGTAGACTAATAAAGCAAACGGTATAAATAGTGGCATATCCATATGATGCAACTTTAGCTATTAAAATAACATTTATAAATGACTTTTGATGACAGGTGAAATTGCTTGTTATAAAATTAAGTGAAAAAACTGAATACGAAACTGGAAGAACAGCAGGATCTCAACCATGGAAAAATGCACATGAAAGTGATCCAAGGACTTTTAGTTAAAGGAGGCAGATTGAACACATATATTTAACTCAATCCCCAGTCTCCCGCCCATAAAGAGAAAGAAAATGAGAAGAACACAGAACATACTCGGAAAACTGGAAAACCAAGGGATAAGTAACAGATCCATCAGGCTTAAGAAAACTAAATTCTAAACCAGCAGAGGGAAACCCCAAAAGCTACCAAGCTGTACTGCAGAAACTACCAAGTACTCGGGACTCAGGAACTGACGGCACCAGGTACCTCTGCAGGGGAGGTGAAGGTGGGTTGAAAATCTACTTAAGAAGCAGTCAGATTCCCATGTTCCTTACCCCTCTGCTGCACCAGTGACCTAGTCCCCACTCCTCCCCTATTCCTCCACGTGGAAGACTAGAGGTGTGCCCTAGTAGACAATAAAACAGTGGCTGTCTGGTGATTCGGTAAAAGAAATACTAAATATTGAGCCCTTAGTCCTCTTCTCCTACTTGGTTCCCAAAGTACCAGCAGCCAGGATTTCCAAAAAGAGAAAAAAGAGAGTAAAAAAGAAAAAAGAGACAGATCAAAGAATTCAAGACAATTTCCTAGAAACATGAGTTTCCAGACTGAAAAGGTCCACTGAGTACCCAACACAAGGCACAATAGTACAAAATTTCAGCCCACCAGCCCCGCGGTCCTAGGTCCTCTCTAAACTCTGTGATAACAAACAGGGGTCTAGGCTGGGTGCAGTGGCTCATGCCTGTAATACCAGCACTTTGGAAGACCGAGGCAAGTGGACTGCTTGAGCTCAGGAGTTCGAGGCCAGCCTGGGCAACACAGCGAGATCTCTGTCTCAATTTAAAAAATAAATTATTAAAAAAACAAAAAACACAGGTCTAACATAACCAAGACTACTCACCAGCAATACTACTTAAATAATAATCATTTCCCAAATTGACAACTACAGAACCCTGCATCATGTTAGTGTTACCTGAAGAGGAGATTTAAAATTTGAGAAACCCAGGGTGAATTTCTCTTTTTGCAGGCTATCATAGCGTCTTTAACATGTTAATGTATACTGTAAATCTCTAAGAAGGAGCATTTTCCAAACCTCCTCGCCCTCCTGGATGGAGTGGCTCACGCCTGTAATCCCAATACTTTGGGAGGCTGACGCAGATGGATCACTTGAGCCTGTGTTCTAGACCAGCCCGGGCAACATGGCAAAACCCTGTCTCTACAAAAAAATGTAATAAAGTAAAAAATATGAATAAATAAATACAAGAGTTAAAATTCCTCATCCAAGCAACTTTTTAGAAACAGGGTCTCACTGTCCGGTGGCGTGATTATGGCTCCCTGCAGCCTTGAGCGATTCTCCTGCCTCAGCCTCCTGAGTTAGCTAGGCACCACCATACCTAGCTAACTTTTTTGTAGAGACAGGGTCTCACTATGTTGCCCAGGTTGATCTTGAACTCCTGGCCTCAGCCTCCCAAAGTGCTGGGATTATAGGTGTCAGCCACTGCACTCAACCAAAAATATTTTTACCTCAAAGGTCCCATAGAACGCTCTGAGATATTCTCCCCTAGATTAAAACAGCTTCTCTCACCTAAAGATCTCTACTCCCTTAATCCTGCTAGTATCCTTGAGAAGAAGATAAACAGAAAAACACATTTTTTGAGAGAGAAGTCCTCGGGCTCAAAAATCTCAGAACATACTGACTCATACTTCAAAACACCTTACTAGAGTGACCAAGTCACTTTTTGGATTCAGATACAGTAGTAAGAATTATACAATCCATCCTGTTTCTCTTTTCATGACAACTTGGAAGAACAGAGCTCAATCAGAGTAAATTACTCAAGCCAAGTCTAGGTTTCTGTGATAAATAGCCCCTCATCCTCTGATGCTCTCAAACCTCCACTAACCATCAAAATGGCTTTTATCATAAGTTTCTTCTTCAGAAAGCACTTAATAATGAAATAAATTACCCAGATAGTACTGTGCTGCTGCCCGGTTGGTATAAAGGACAGCATTCAAATCAAGATCTGCACATTTCTTCTTTAATCCTTCAGTGTAGGAAATCACAGCTTTCTTGTAGTCTTTTTCTTTAAAGTAATCATTGCCTTCATCTTTATAGGTCTTGGCCTGTTCTGCAAACAAGAGGAAAAATAATCACTATTCCACACTTTTTAAAAGGCTCCTTTTCCACACTTTTTAAAAGGCTCATTAAAAATAGATTCTAAATCATGCAATAATGTACTATACGATACACCAAAATGAAGAAACCAATAGGGAAAGGAAATTCAACGTTATGATAAAAATGGGTATCAACGTGGACAAAGTCACACAAATTTAATGCTAATTCCAAATATCTTACAAGGTAGATTACTAAGTGCTTTCCGCGAAAAAAGAAGCATAAAGGAAAAATGTACACTCATCCTAGCTATTGAAAAAAAGAATTTTTTTAAATCACTGAAGAAATCAGTGAGGGGCAGGGGGATTGATTATACTTCTGCTTTTGCTTATGCTGTTTATTCTGTGGAGTGCAAATTCCCCTCCTCACCCTAGTAAAAGCCTACAAAATTACAGAGTCAGCTCAAATTTCCTATCCACTGTGAATCCACTCCTGCCCCTTAAAGTCTTCCAACAGGACCCATTACAGCTGTAGTATAACACTTACATGTTGACATTTATAGCACATGTTTGTCTTGATTCTTTAAGACAATGGGCTTCTCACTGATCCTGACCTTGGAGGGTGGAACTGTGTCTTATTCATCCCTGTATCCCCAATCCCTACCACTTAGTAGGTATACAAAGAAGTCTGTTGCAATGAATAGTAACAAGTTAGATCAGGCTAACTACTTCTTGTTAATCAGTCAGAACCCTTCTAACCCACACTTTATTTCTACAAAGCAAATATTAGTCACGTTAAGATACCTTCTAGAGAACGATCTTCATCAAAAATAATTGACTGGAGACAAGCCAAGTCAGGATTCTCCCTGGGGTCAATTTCTGATGGTGCTTTCTTCATAAATAGGGGGACCTTTTCAAATTCCTGGAAATGGTTAAAAATGAACTACATGAAAAAGCTTTGCTACTGAATAGATCCAATTCCATGACTCAAAGTTTTTTCACTCATCATAATTTTCAAATCATCACAGTTAGCTGTATCCATTCAGGCCTCTGCTTCCCTTCTGTAAAATGGCAGTGGGGTGTAATGATCTCCAATGATTGTTTTAGCTCTCACATTATACAAGAACGGCAGGAATTACCATTAATTAAGCGCCCTAAAGTTCTTGGCAGTTTACCAACTGTGTCTCGTTTCATCTTTGCTATTGGTGCTATAGTTCGGGCAATTTTACAGATGAGGAAACAGGCTCAGAGAAGTAAAGTAACTGATCCATATCAGAGCCAGTAAGTGTGGTTCTTAAACGTACTGACAGCTTAAGAAGCAACTCAAAACCTCGAGACCGATTTTCTTTTCTTTTCTTTTTTTTTTTTTTTTTGAGACGGAGTTTCGCTCTTGTTACCCAGGCTGGAGTGCAATGGCCCGATCTCGGCTCACCGCAACCTCCGCCTCCTGGGTTCAGGCAATTCTCCTGCCTCAGCCTCCTGAGTAGCTGGGATTACAGGCACATGCCACTATGCCCAGCTAATTTTTTGTATTTTTAGTAGAGACAGGGTTTCACCATGTTGACCAGGATGGTCTCGATCTCTTGACCTCGTGACCCACCCGCCTCGGCCTCCCAAAGTGCTGGGATTACAGGCTTGAGCCACCGCGCCCAGCGGAGGCCGATTTTCAATACCCAACTAGAAATCAGCCATCCGCTGGCAGCGCGAGGGATCTGGGATTGAGAGAGGCGCCCCCAAGCCCGGGTTCCCACGAGTCCTGACGACGCCCCTACACACGTGCGAAGACCCCAGGACCGCCCACCTCCTCCCACTGGTCCTCATGAAAGCCGCCACGGTAAGGCTGGCTCTGGAACTTGTCCAGGAACGAGTCCATGACGTCGTCTGAGGTGGGGTCCTGCTCAGGTTGCTCCATAGCTGATCCCCTGCCCTCCAGCCCAAGTCCCAGCGCCGTGAAGCGAGGAGCTCCTTCCGGCGGTGCAAGTTCCCTTCCCTCAGTCCTCCCGGCGGCGCAGGCCCGCGCGCCTTGGGTTCCGCCGGCCTGGGGGCGTGGCCGGGCGTGGCCGAGACCGATACGCTCCTCCCCCGGCCCGCGGCCTCGGCGGTGCCTGGCCGAGCCCCGCCCGAATGCTTTTGGGGTAAGCCCCAATGATTGCGTAAGCTCGGATCCCCGTAGCTCCTGTCTCACTTCATTCATTTGTTCGTCTGTCAGTCAACACAGACTTAGCTCCTTCTGCGCTTCCGGCCTTTTCTAGAGGCTGGCTGTACAGTGGTGGGTAGAGCAGATGCAATCCCTGCCCTCTAGGAATTGCTAAGGCAGCGGGGAGGAAAGGACAACAAATGGATGAGATGTAAGGGTTTGTCAGGGGTAGCAAGAACTATTGGGGAAAAGTTTTAAACAGGGCGGGCAGGCATTCTGCCAGAGGCCTGGGAATGACCAGGAAGGGTCTGGGAAAGGCATTCCCATGGAAGGAACAGAGAACAGGCCGGAGCCCTGATTCAGGAGGGTCTTCCGTGCTTGGGGAACAGCAAGGAGGCCAGTGGGGCCGATGCAGAGCGAGAAAGGGGACGAGGAGATGATGAGGTGGGAGGATAAAAGGGCTGTGCTGTGAGGATTTGGCTATTTCCTAAGAGTGGGATGGGACCTTTTGGAGAGTTTTGAGGAAAGGAGAGACTGATCAGGCCTCTGTCTCTGAACTTAGCCACACCTAGCCCCCACAGCTTAGATGGAAACAGGGTCTGCAGTCCAGGTGCTGCAGGCCTGGCGAGGGAGCCGCTGTGGCTTCCCGCAGCCCCTGCTGGCCAGCAAATGGCTGCAGATCCCTGCACCGCGCCTACAGCCTTGGGGAGCTCCTAGCTTGGTCTGGAACGAAAAGCAGACAGGAAGCACACCAATCTCACTGGCATTGGGTCACAGGTCTGCTCAGTGAAGGCACAGAGGGGTGGGATTCAAGGGGAGGCAGAGCTGAGATCAGAGCTGAGGAAGGTCTCTGCAGATGGATAGAGGACTGGGCATTTTAGGCAGTGGGAGCTCATATGTGGAGAGAGGCATGGAGGTGTGCACCTGCCCACCATGCTGCATACTACAAGTGTTCCAGAGGTATGGCCAGTAGGTGGGTAGGGGCCAGAAGGCCTGCCTGCCTTACTAGCCTTGGTCCTGCAGGATAGTGAGCCACTGAAAAGACCTAAGAGGAGCAAGGGCTGTGAGCACATTTGTCTTAGGAAGGCCTGGGCTGCCAGGTGAGGCATTGATGGAGTGAGGTTGGTTAAGAGATTGACAAGGAGGATGCTGGTAAGAGACCAAGGGAAAGGAGAGATCTGAAGCCCAGCAGTGGAGCTGGCAGAATGGCCATTCTTTGATATGGGCATAGAGACAGCAGGGCTAAGGATGATGCCTGGAGACCATGAGCCTTCCAGTGCTGAGACTTTATATTTTCCCTTCTGAGTCTCCCACACCCAGCAGAACACCTGGTCCTAGGGCTCTCTTTTCTCCAAATTCTAACCTCCTTTTCTGCACTTCCTCCTCCAGCCCTGCTCCCTAACCCCGGTTCCCTCCCTTATTCTCCTCTTCATCATCTTTTCCTTTACTGAGTGCAGAGCCTACAAAGTCTTTTTGATTTCTTTTTTTTTTTCCCCGTTTGATTTCTGTAAGAACGTGAGGTACGAACCCATTTTATAGGTAACAATAGTGGAAGCTAACAAAAAGGAAGTGACTTACCCAGCACACTCTGCACCTTCCTACTCAAAACTACTTAGGGGCCTTGGCCAATAACTGAGCCGATCAGCCTCTGCTGATCGTAAACGGCAAACATTTATTTCTCACAGTTGTGGATGCTGGGAAGTCCAGGATCAAGGGCTGGCAGATTTGGTGTCTGGTGAGGGCCTGTTTTCTGGTTCATAGATGCCATCTTTTCACAGTGTCTTCCCATGGTGCAAGCGCTCTGAAGGCTCTTTTATAAGGGCACTAATCCCATTCGCTAATCCCTAATCCTCTCTCAAAGGCCCCCCACCTCCTAATTTCACCACTTCGGGAGTTTGGATTTCATATGAATTCAAGAGGACACAGTATTCAGACCACAGCAGCAGCCACCTGCCCTGTGGGTATCTCCACTGGCTTCCTGCACAGTCCCTCAAACTTACTATGCCCAGCTTGAACTCATCCCCTTTCCCCACAGCCTGCTCCTGGTGCTGGATTCACCACTCAGTGTGGGCTCCATTGGCTCAGTCATCCACCCAGAAATCTAGGTGCCAAACTCAGTGCCTTCCTCTCCCTTCTCCGGTCTGTCAACCACTAGGTTCTGCAATCCCCTTCCTCCATCTCCTGCAGGGCTGACCACCCTCTCCATTTTGTTCTGCAGGGGATGGCCACTGTTGTCCCAGCAGTTTCTGCTGACAGTACTCTTGTCCACCCTGCCACCCAGCCCTCTCACTCCACGACATAGTGAGCTTCTTCTGCTTCCTTTTTAATTTATTCCCTTTTATCCCCTAAAGCCCTGCTCCTTACCCTAATCAATCATTCTAGCATCTTTTATTAGCATTTTTATTTTGTTTGTTTTATAGAGATGGGGGTCTCACTATGTTGCCCATGCTAGTCTCAAACTCCTGGCCTCAAGTGATCCTCCCACCTCAGCCTCCCAAAGTGTTGGGATTACAGGTGTGAGTCACCACACCTGGCCTCTAGTGTGTTCACTGTGTCTTCTTAGTTTCTATGTATTCTTACAAAATGTAAATGCTTTTGTACATTCTTTTTTTTTCTTTTTTCTTTCCTTTTTTTTTTTTTTTTTTTTTTGAGATAGAGTTTGATTCTTGATGCCCAGGCAGGAGTGCAATGCACAATCTTGGCTCACTGCCACCTTCACCTCCTGGGTTCAAGCTATTCTCCTGCCCCAGCCTCCCAAGTAGCTGGGATTACAGGCATGCGCCACCACACCCAGCTAATTTTGTATTTTTAGTAGAGACAGGGTTTCACCATGTTGGTCAAGCTGGTCTTGAACTCCTGACTCAGGTGATCCACCCACAGCAGCCTCCCAAAAGGCCGCGATTACAGGAGTGAGCCACTGCACCATGAGTGGAACTATGTATCCATGAGTGGAACTGCTCAGTCATGGGTATGCATGAACTTAATAAGACTGAAGTGACTGAATAATGACAGATCCCTACAGATTCCAGAAGAGCTGCACCAATCTACCATCCCATCAGCAGTGCCTGAGGGTTTCTGCATCCCCAGGAGGAGGCGCCTTCTAAAACAGGCATCTGCCTACATCTGTCCCCTGCTTAGCATCCCGCAGTGCCTTCCCACTCCTCTCTGGATGAAGTCTCCCTCCTTAACACAGTCTCTAAGGCTTCCGTAGCTCTAGCCTGAACTCCTCGCCCCTGTGTCTCTGGGCTCTGTGCACTACAGGTCTGTAGTTTTTCCTTGGTCCTGTGTGTCCTGCTCCCTTCCATACATGCTCTTTCCAAACCCCCTGCAGGGGAGTTTCTTCCCTGGGAAGCCTTATCTAACTCCCTGCTCATCTATATATCTCCTCTGGATGCCCCATGCTGACCTGCTGTGCTGTTGGTGTCTTTATATGTTTCTGACACTTCCATTAGACCAAGTTTCTCGACCGTGGCGCTTTCGACAATTGGGATGGGGAACTCCTTGTTGAAGGACTGTCCTGAGCATAGGAGGATGTTTAGCAGCATCCCTGGCCACTACCCATCAGATGATAAGAGCACACCTACCAGCCCCCACAAGTTGTAACAGCCAGAAATGTCTCCAGACATTGTTAAATATTACCTGAGGATCAAAATCATCCCTGGCTGAGAACCACTGCATCAGCCTATGAACTGCTAGGGCCTGACCTGGTGCTGGGTCTTGTTCATGTGTGTATCATGGCACCCAGAGTGGGCTGGCCCAGGTTAGGTGCTCAGTAAATGCTGTGAGAATCTGTGGTGGCCCCTTACTGGGCAAAGGCCCAAGGGCAGGACTCAGATTCAGGGTTTGGGGATATGCATGATGTCGTGGGGGCTGTGGCTGTCTCTTCTTTCTCTTTTTTTCCTATCCCCAAAGGCCACCTAAAACATCATCTCCTGGCCGGGCGCGGTGGCTCAAGCCTGTAATCACAGCACTTTGGGAGGCCGAGGCGGGTGGATCACGAGGTCAAGAGATCGAGACCATCCTGGTCAACATGGTGAAACCCCGTCTCTACTAAAAATACAGAAAATTAGCTGGGCATGGTGGCGCGTGCCTGTAATCCCAGCTACTCAGGAGGCTGAGGCAGGAGAATTGCCTGAGCCCAGGAGGCGGAGGTTGCGGTGAGCCGAGATCGCGCCATTGCACTCCAGCCTGGGTAACAAGAGCGAAACTCTGTCTCAAAAAAAAAAATAAATAATAAAAAAAAAAAAAACATCATCTCCTTTTGTTCTTATAATGTGGAGCAGGGGAAACTGAGACATCCAGCAGACTTACTGTATAGCCTTGGGGGAGCCACTTCACCCCTCTGGGCCTCTGCTTCCTCACGTATACAATGTGGGCAAAACAGCCTACATGGGTCAATAGGTATTGACTGAGCCTACAGTCACCTCTCAAAGACTGTCACACCAAGTGATGGCTGCTCCAGAGCCTGGGGATGTCCCAAGAGGAAACCATCAGGACAGAGAGTAAACCACATAACATTTATAGGGAGCACGGCTGGGGCTCAACCGCCCTGAGGAGGGCTGGGGGCTTAGGGATGTCACTGCTTCAAGGACATCTTCCAGGAGCCCAGTGCCTGCATGATCCAGGAGCGCCGCTGGTGGGAAGTGGGTAGGTTCTCACAGCTGGGGCTCCAACGGTGCGTGGTGGCCGGGTCACACACCCCCGAGTCCCCGTGCAGCAGCCAGGAGTTCCGCCAGCAGCTGGCCAAGAGGTGGTCCTGAGCCTGAGCCGCATAGATGCACACTGATGCTTCTGGGTCATGTCTCAAGTTTTCCAGAGCTGCGTCATAGGGAAGGGAGATGCCTCCTGTTAAGACC